TATGACAGATTTTATATGTTTGTGTTGAAAAACGAGCTCGGGTTGGATACCTTAAGTACTGTCGCTAAAAAGGTCACAAAGTTAAGAAGAAAGAAAAATAGAAAACAAATGACTCACGAACCAACGCAGAAGCAGCAGAGCAAACCTAACATGGAGACCGATTAAAGCCGAGAACCAATCTATTACAGCAACAAAAATAAAATTCCTATTGGTATAGGATAAGCGTAGTGAGACAATAGTATCCTTCGGATAAAATGACCCAAAGAAACTTACTTAACAAGCACGATCGAGAAAGATAAACTCACCAAAATTATCAAATTAGTTAATAAAAGAATATCGATAACCAAGTAAAAATAACATTTACTTACCATATAACATATACTCAATCAAAAAAAAAAAAAAAAATTTCTCAAAACCGACTTTTCTGACTTAAAACATCATATGAGTCTAATCGATTCTTAATTTCAATCTGATTTTATATTTACAAAACATCAGATAGCCCAACTATGTAAACCTCCAATTCCAATCCAATACTTCCAACACCCATGAATGCAATTAATCTAAAGCTGTGTTTGTCTGCGAAAAAATAAATTTTAGGAACTTGTCGTTTAATTTTTTATTATTTTTCGATATTTGTTTTGTGTTTAGAAAAAAAGTTAATAGAAAATGATTTCTAATTAGCAAAAAATGATAAAGTATTATTGAGAAAGTGATTTTCGAGTTAAAAAAGAGAAAAATATTTTTTCTCTCTTTCACGAGCTGTCTCGCTCTCTTGTTATTTACCTCTCTCGATATATTTTAATAATTGTTTCTCTATCTCTTTTATATTTAAAATATATCAAATTATTTTTTAATTATTTCTTATCAATTATTATTAATTATTTAATTATTTTTCTCTATTTCTGCTAATATTTGATTTTCTTATTTATAAATACATTAAGTATTCTTAAAAACCATTTTTACACCTTAAAATTATTTTTATAATAAATATTTTAATAATTTATCTCTATTTTTTTTATCGTTATCTCAAACACCACCTAAACTATACTTAAATGATTGAAATTGATTATTACAAGACCGCAATCATTTATGAAAGAATTAAAACTAATTAATTTATTAATAAATACATTATTTTGTCAATATTATTCATTTGTAACTTCTAAAAACTAGACTCGGGTACCAATCAAAAGTTGACAACAACGTAGTTACACATTTAATACCCACTTACCAAAAATTTTCTATCTCATACATCGACATTTTTAACATATATTTATTGTAGTGGAATATATTTGAATTAGTTTTTCCATCAATTAAGATTGAGTATGCCACTTCTCAAGTTAAGCTAGTGCGTCGACCACTTGGACTATCTTTTAGGCCAAACTAATCAAAATATAGTACCCTTAAAAGATAATTATGGTTAGTTATTGGTGGATAATAAGAATTAAACTTTGGTTTTAGGCAAAACAAAATAACTCCCTTACTTTTAGATCGGATCTTTTGGTGGTCACGGAGTTGGCATTTTTAAAGATGGTTTATGAACTAGATCCATTAAAGGATCAACAATTTGATCAATTTTTGCTTGGATATTATCTTGGAAAAACATGAATGTATATAAGGACTATACATATTATTAAATTAATAGTTGAGTTTAGATTTCATTCAAAAAAAATTAAAATAATATAAAAGATTGAAAACAAATCACTTATCGTAAGATTTAATTTTTTTCAATGAAACACAAAATCAACTATTAATTCTATATGACATAAGAGACTTAAATATGTCCAACAATCTAATAAATATTGTGAAATCCAAGTCACTCTACATATCCAAAAATATGAGTTACAAACGAGGAGAAGAGTTAGAGAATATATCTCATATTAAATAAAAAAATATATAAAGTAATATAAAAGATGTTGAATGGACCTTCCACTATAAGATTTATATCTTTTGGATGGAACCAATATTCAACCATCTAATTTAATATTATATTAAAGCCTCAAAGAAATGCAATAGTCTAATAAAGATCTTAGAGTCTAAACCACTTAACAATATCAAAATAAAATAAGTTACAAGTGAGGAAAAGTGTTAGTGAACATATCTCAAATTGAATAAATACAAAAATATAAAGTAATATAAAAGACGTTAAATGAGCAACTCATCACAAGGTTTAAGCTTTTTTAATAAAATTCAAACTTAACTATCTAATTCTATACATATATTGTAGATTTGTTGACGTTCAAATAAACATTTCAAACTATGGATACGTGTGCAAAGATCGTCCGATAAGAGACTAATAGTTGGCATGGTCGATTTTCAAGGAAGCTAGTTATTATCGGACATAATTGATATTGATACTACTCATTTGTACTTGAAAGATTTTGTGATCAAGTTTATTATAGAAGATTCTATTTATTCTACAACCTAAGATTTCCTATGTACTCTTTCTACGGGATTCAAAATCGTAATTTCTTTAGATTATTTGTTTTCTTGTTTGATTTGGATATTAATAATTATCTTAATTAATATTTTTTTCTAGTTAGAGACTATGGAGTTTGATAATTGAGATTGAGTTTCATTCAAAAGAGTTAAACTTTATGATAAGTGACTCCTTTTCAATTTTATATATTACTCCTTTTTTATTTAACTATTCAATATGTGATATATCCTCTAACATTTTTTATCACTTGAAGTTTATCTTTTAGGATCCGTCAAGTGACTTGGATTCTAGGATTTTAATTGATAGCATCTTTGAAGCTCCGATATCATATAGAATTTGATAGTTGAGATTGTGTTTCATTTGAAAAACCTTAAGACTTATGGTATGTGTCTCCTTCTTAACTTTATATATTACTTCTTTTTTATTTAATTACTCAATATGAGATGTGTTCTCTAACGGAAATTGACACCTAAGATAGTTTTATTTCTTTACTTGTATCATAACTAAGTTAAGGTGTTTTAGTGTTCACTAACACTCGAAGGCTTATGTAGTGTTCAATATAACATACATTGAATGAACCATAAAGTAATATAAGTTGGTTTTATTTCTTTATTACTATCATAAGTAAGTTAAGATGTTGAGAAGCCTAGCTTATTGTATTATGTTTGACTTGTTCTGTGACACAATTTTAATATAATTTTTCTCAAGTTTTTCTACAATTTATCTTTTGCGATTTACTTTTCATATGTTATTTTTTTCAACTATATACTTTATGTTTATGCTTCTTTTATCCCATTATTTATATGCTTTTCAACTATGTATTTTATCTTTATGCTTTCTTCATCCCATTATTTACATGCTCTATTTACTTATTTGTTTACTATTTTTTTTACGATTTTATCTAACGAGTCTTTACAAGATTCCAGTTTATGTAATTGTTTTTCTATGTAATTTCATGTTTTCTTTTAATTTTGCTAGTTCTACTCCATGTAAACTTTCTATAGTTTATTCATATAAATCTTTATGATTTATCACTTGATGTAAACTTCTTTCTTTAATTTATGTAAACCATAATGTTAAATTTATATTGATGTAAATTTCTATATTTACTAGCTACTTGATGTAAACTTAAGTGTTTAAAACAACTTTGGAGTTTTATGATTTTTTACGATCGATATAAATTTTATAATTTAAATCTTATTTAGCTTTTATGGTTAAATTTAACGTACACGATTGTGTTATGTTTTATTTAGACGATCATATTGTTTTTTACATAAATATTGGTTAACCAATTCATATTTATTTGGACTTATTGTCTCTAAGTTTCTTGGAAAATCCACCATTCTTCTTGATACCAAAGTAGTCGCTGCTTTCTTATGTACCGAGTTTCAAGTATTAAAAAAAAAAAAAAAATTCCATATGTTTAAAGAAAAATATTTTTATTGATAACAAAATCCACAATTTATTGCTGCGTGTTTTTCAATGCAAAAGAATAAACCTTTTACTAATCCCCGGATGCTATGACAAGTAATAGTTTCTTTTGGGCTCTATTTTCCACCTCAAAAGCCTTATCAAAAAAAAAAAAAAAAAACTATAGATAACATGCAGTTGGAAACATTCGAGGCATATAAAGTAAAACGATATATTTTTAAGAAAAAATAAAATGAAATATTGCTAGATAATAATGAGATATCAATAAAACAATAAAGTGGGTTGTAGATGGATTGCGTCTCTCTATTTCTTTAGTGCAATAAATTGAAAGCTCCATATCTTTTTAGGATATAGCATTTATCCCGACGTAGTAATTAAGAAAGTTTATTTTAGTTTTTGAGTTTTTGGATTCAAATTTTAAAGCCATGTAAGAAAGTTTATTAAAATTAAGGATAATCAATTATTAGTATACCTAAGAGTTTATTAATATACCTAAGAGTGTTAAGCTGAACGAGAATAATGCTAATCGCTTAAATAAGTAATATCGAATTCGAATCCTTATATATGAAAAAAAAATTTTTGAATAATTATTCATATCTTATATGTCCGACGGAATAATGAGAGATTAATTTGGACATTAACGTTTAGGATACCTTAGAGGATCCAAAATTATTAATATAAAGTAATTAATCATCCGAAAACATATGTGTCTAAGTATAGTTGGAAAAAAAAACATTATAGAATAACTAACTATAAAAGTAAGAGAAAAAATAGATAACACTCTATTTGGTATGATTTTTGTAAGTTGATTTGATTTGTTTTTTAACTTTGAAAAGTCATAAATATGTTTAATTAAAAAAAAAATTGGACTTAAAAAAAAAACTGTTATAAAATTGATTCAAAATTTTGCAAAGTTCCTACTAGTGCCAATTCTTTCATAAACGACTTAGATCCTTAAGTATTTATTAAAAATTAAAAATTTATTTCAACTTAAGTCATCACTTGATAAAAGTCAAACCGGACAACTGCTGAGTCTCCTAATCGTGTGATGGCGTTGGCCTATAAAAAGGGCATAGATCCTCGTTTAGCAACATGTTGTGTTAGTGTGCGGGAGCAGCGTGGGTAGAGAGAGATGGGGAGGAGTCCATGTTGCTCCAAGGAAGGACTCAACAGAGGAGCATGGACTGCCTTGGAAGACAAAATATTGACGGCTTATATCAAAGCCCATGGAGAAGGCAAATGGAGAAACCTCCCCAAGAGAGCAGGTACTCGTAGAAACACTTCGCTTGCATACGAGTTAAGTTCATTAATGCATTAAATAAAGTACTTTTTATCCAAGATTTGATAAGTATTCGTGCTAATTAATATGCAGGCTTGAAGAGATGTGGTAAGAGTTGTAGACTTAGATGGTTAAATTATCTTAGACCAGACATCAAGAGAGGCAACATTTCCCATGAGGAAGAAGAACTCATTATCAGGCTCCATAAACTTCTTGGTAACAGGTTCTCTCTCTCTCTCTCTTGTATTGTAGGCTTCAGGCAATATTTTACGCGGTACCTATTCTTCTATGAGTAGTAATCCTACTAATTACTAGCATTCTTGAATGTGCAGATGGTCTCTGATAGCTGGAAGGCTACCTGGGCGAACAGACAATGAAATCAAGAATTATTGGAATACTACTCTGGGGAAGAAAGCTAATGCTCAATCATCTTCGCAATCAAAACAAAATTCTCAAAGCAAATCTAGAGCAATCGAACCCATTACCAGCACCCAACCATCAAAGTCAACACAAGCAACCCAAGTAATCCGCACCAAGGCCACTAGGTGCCCCAAGGTTTTGCTCTCAATGCAGTCACCACCACCCCCACCTGAAACTGAAATTCACTCCTCAACAGCCACGGAGGACGACTCACCTCAAGCGTCCTTGTTAAATCATCCACAAGATGGTCCAAATTTTCACTGCGGAACTGAAGAGGTTCGAGCATACCATAATGACTCAGATTTCTTGAATTTTGGGCGCTGGAATGCGTTTCAACCAAGTGATGTGATTGATGGAGATGGATCAATGGACAATGATTACGACAAGATTTTGGCTAGGGGTTCTGAACGTTCCTTGGCCTTATTTGATGACCTAACGTCCAAGGACTGGGCAATGAATCGTTGTCTTGAGGACAATTCCACTTTAGATCTAGAATATCTGGCACATTTGCTTGATTCCGAAGAGTGGCCATAAGATGAGCCGATGACGAGAAACGATAGCAAAATCTCCACCGTACGTAGAATATATATATATAAAGAACAACGCCTTCAGTATTGATGATTATTTTAGCACTTGCGGCATGTCTTAATTGACTATTAATGTAGAAATGGAAGTGCCACTGTTTAGTATTTAGAGCAAGTTACAACGATTTAGCATTTACAAGAGCTGTGCCCGTAAGAAACTTCAATTATGTATGACATATGAAAATATATACTGCTACTATATTTAGTAAAATTATATATTATGTGCATTTTTCTTTCAACGTCATTCGACATAAGATGATTTAATCCCATAACTATCCCATAAATTTGTTACTGTTAGATAAATGAGTGCGTTTTTGTTTTGAATATTTTTTGTGCTAACTAAAAGGACGAATCATATGTATGATAATGGGAAAAAATCGTTATGATAATAAAAAAAGAACTAGAAAAAAACTAATAAAAAAAATGATTTTGTAGTGAAATAAAGTGAATAAAATCAATTGCAACTTTAAACGAGTTTTCTCAATCTCTACAAGAACACTTCCATACAAACTAATGAATAATCAAGTCTATTTATATGCTTTAAAATTAAAAAAAAAAAATTAAAAGAGACTATGAACAATAAAAAATTGTATAAATGATTTAATCAATTATATCACCTATTTAATTTTTCATATTAAATAGTAAATTCAATCACGTTAAAATTTATTAGTGAAAATATGAATATTCATATAAACATTCATTATTTCATAACACTCTTTCTTGAATAAAGAACTACTTTGTTAAAACCTTACTAGAAAAAAATAGAGTGGAAAAAAATTCTTGTGATAGAAAACGAGTACTTTCTTGTAAACATTAATATTCATTTTAGATGGCTCTCTTTATTGAAAATATTATTTAAAATCTTTAAAACGATACATCCTATTTTCTAAATCATCTTTTCAAAAATTATGATAGGTAATGCCTTAGTGAGTAAATCGTTGGATTGTCACTTGATTAAATTTGTTAGATATTAATATCACTATTTCGCTAAAAATCATGTGTGAAAAATAATTTTATTGATATATGTTTCATTGTATAACCTTCGATATATAGTTCCTTTGATTGCATTATACAAGTAGCATTATCTTCATATAATATTTTTACAACTTCCTTCTTAGTGGATAAACTACATGTCCTCGTTATGATAGATCAACGATCTTAACCAAACTCATCCTCGACTTATCTTATGAATTGCTATGATTTACGCATGATTTAAAAATATAGCAATTATAGTTTACTTTATAGAATGCCATGATATAGCTCGCAACATCATGTTTAAATATATAATTCATAATTAGTTTGTGATTGAGTTTTATGTGGATCAGATAAATAACTCGCATTTGCATAACCTATTAAATATGACTTTGATTTATTTGAGTAAAATAAATTTTATATCAATTTTTTTCAAAGATAACATAGTATATGTCTTATTTCATCCCAATATCTCCATATTAGACCAAAATATTGTCTCTCTAAATTTACAAAAAAAACTATATTAAGGCGAGTATTATTAGGAAATATCAATGCATCTATTGCACTAAGATGTCATACTATACAAGTTATCTGTCGCTATTTAGTGATGAAATATTGATCGCTAATTTGAAAGAAGTTGTGGAATTTGAGGGGGTAAAACTATCAATGCATTTGAAAGTTAAATTAGCAACGAGACTAAGTTATTCATCTCTATTTAGCGATGAAATATCGAATCCATTCGTTGTTTGAGCAAATTTTACTAACTTTCTAAAGAATATGATGCTCGTTTAAAATTCAAATTAGCGACGGATTAGCAATGAAAACACGTGTGTCGCTCATTATTAAACCTATAAACAAACTGTTTCTCTTCATCTTTTCCATTTCGGTTGTTCTCTCGCCTCCCTACACTGCTGCCGACCCTCGACACCCCTCGTTCCATGCTATCGCATGCCGGCCACACCCTCTCCAGGCACATTCAATTTGGCGTGGAGCATGTTTCTCTCGAAACTCTTACCACAAGCATTGTCCTCTCACTCCTTCATATCTTTGATAAGTTTTTCTTTCTTTAGAAGTAAAGGTTTTATTTTTCTTAATTACATTAGTGTACTTAGTTATTATGTTAATTTTGTGAATTGTTAGTTACTTAATTGTTTTTTTAATTTCGTTATTTATCAATTTATTTTTTGAATTATTAGTACAATTTGTTAATTGTTAGTGTTAATATTTAAGTTAATTATTAGTTTAAATTTGTTAAATATTTATTTAATTTTATTAATTATTATATTAATTTTGTTAAGTGTTAGCGTTAGGTTAAATTTTATTTATGTACATAAAGTTGATTAATTATTAAGTTATTTGTTATTAACTGTTAGGTTAAAATTTAGTTATGTAATTGTTAATTTTTATTTAAAATTTTTCAACTATTAATTTACTTTTGTTATTTATTAGTTGAATTTTGTTAATTGTCGGTGTTGTATTAAATTTTAATTATGTAATTTTTAGGTAATTTAGATAAATTGGTTGATTAAATATTAAGTTATTTTTTATTAATTGGTTGGTTAAATTTTTTTTAATTTATTGTTAATTTGTTATTTTTTATTAGTTGTTAGGTTAATATTTTTAATTTTTTGTTGTTATTTTTAAATTTAAATAATATTTAAATTTGGATTAATGTAGTTAGTTATGGTTAATTTAATTTAATTAATTTGATTTATGTTTAGTTCAAATATTAAAGCTAGAAGTAATTGTAATAGCTGAATTATTAAAAATGATCAACATTCAATTAAATAAAGAATCCATCAATTTTATTTCTTTCATTTTATTTATTTTTTAAGAAATAAATATGAAAGAAAAATAATTTTTTTAACAAAATAAAGTATAAACCAACATTATAGCTCTTTGTGAACAAAATCAAACAAGCATAAACAATATGTCATTTTTCTTTCTTTAAATTATTTTTTGTGAACCAATATTGAATTATCCATTGACATATTTTGACAAATAAAAAATTAATTTTTTCTTAATCAAAGTGTTCTAATTTAAGATTTAATCAAAAAAAAAAAACCTAATTTTGATATACAAACATTAACTCCATTGAAATAAAGTTATAATTTAATAAATGTTTTATTTATGATTAATTTAATTATTTTTAGTTGAATTTATTATGAAATTAAATGTGAAAATTTAGTCAAAATAAACTTTAAATGGGAAATTTTAATAAACATTTTCAATTATATAATAAAATTATTTTTTGGAGGGTTATTTTATTATAGAAAATAAAATTTAATGAAAGTGTTTAAATGGTATAATAAAAACAGACAAGCAAAAAAAAAAAAAAAAAAAAATTAAATCAAAGTTTAAGAACTAGATTGAAATAAAGCGAAAATATGTGTACTAAAGCAAGTTATGGTAGAACATGTAAAAAAGTAAAATAAAAAAATAAAATTACACAATCAATCATTCAATATTCTAAAATTAAATATTAGGTTAGTTAATGAATTTTTTAAACAAAAAATTAAATATAGAGTCCAATTCTTGAGAAAAAAATTCCTAACAAGTACTCGTCAATTACATAACCAGTATATATGCTTCATTTTTATTTAAAATTCACGGGAATATAGATAAATAAATTTTTACATGTGTTGTGTAATTTTGTAGTAATTACAAAAAATGAGATCCGATCAACAATGGATGAATATTAGGTTAGTTAATGAATTGTTAAATGATTACTTTTTCAAATGAATAGAATAATTTTTAGCTTTTGCTATTGAGTATCTTGAATGTATAGACGAAACCAAAATTAGGTGTTCTTGTAATTATAATAAATATCGGAACATAAATTATGAGGAGGTTGAAATTGCAAATTATCATTAGTACCGTTAGGATTTTGTGTCGGGATATTATGATTGGATACATCTTGATGAATTTAAGTTGTACATGGAATTTATTGATTCGAGAAATCATTATGTTTCTAGAAATTATTATGTAGGCAAAAATAGTTCTAGTGAAGCCCAAAAACCATATCAAACGATGGTAATGGATGCATTCGGTCCATCTTTCATTCGTCTAGCATGGAAGGGTTCTAAATCTCAATGCCCAATACTTTTATAATATGTTGAATCCATCACGTAATGAGATTTGGCTTAGTTGTAATGAGCACTCTTAATTGTTAGAATTTGCTTGAATGTTAAATCTAAAAGTTGAATATCATTTTCTAGATAAGTGTTTTGACCGGTTATATGAGTCGATGAAGGAGTTGATGTCGGTCGATCACTCGTATGATAGATAACTTTTATGAAACAAAGAAGCTAGTTAAGGGGATGGGTTTACTAGTTGAAAAAATTCATTATTGTTAAAATGGCTATATGATCTATTGGAATGAAGACGAGTGAATTAGATAAATACAAGTTTTTTTATCATTCTCGATATTGAAGTTTCCATTGAGGATCGACAAGAGCAAAACTTGTTCTAATTAAAAAATATACTACTTTCCTCTAACCACCGCATCGGTAGTAATTGTATGGATCAAATGCGATAGTTGAGCACATGAGGTGGCATGACAAACATGAGGTAGATGATGCAAAAGTAATACATCATCCGTCCGATTCTATTGCATGGAAAAATTTCAATAAGATTGATTTTTCTTTTATAGCTGAAAGAATGAACATTAGATTAGAAGTGTGCATCGATAGGTTTCAACCATTTGGTCAATTTGGTGTGTAATATTCTTCATGATCGGTCGTTATGACTTCATACAATTTTCCATTATAGATGTGTATGAAGAGAAAATATATAATCGTAACATTAATTATTTCAAATCCAAAAAATCCAAAATATAAGTTGGACGCTTACTTATAACCTTTCATATCCAGAGCTTATTTAGTTATAGAAAATGGGTGTGGTGACCAACAATGTATACCATAAGTAGAATTTTTTATTGAGAGTTATGGTTATATGGATTATTAATGATGTTCCTAC